GGGGATGAGCACACTCATCAAGGACACAGTGTTAAGGATGAAATGGACTTGGTCATACTTGGTATAGAAGCTGGTGAGGAAGTACCTGGGAGAGGAGGTGGAAAGAAATGAAGGTCTGGAGGGCACCTTCATCCCCCAGAATCCTGACAGCCAAGGGGGCATGGGAGGGGTCCCCAGAAGCCTCCCTCAGCAAGCCTCTCTAGCTAACAAGGTCCCTCCTCACTCAACTCCCCTGCCTTACCCTATGCCCATGGGCCGGTTTCACTCACAGGGAGTTCAGGAAAGCCAGGGCCAGGGAGGCCCAAGGCCCAGTGTGAGACCCAGGGATACTTCCCTTCCCTCCCTCTGCTTATCCCCACACCAGAGGTCAGAGCTAGAGAGGGTTTAAGCCTGGCTGGGCCCACCAGCTTTGCTATGCCTGCTGATGTTCTCCCCCAGCCAAAGCACTCACAGCACAATGGGTGTGATGGTCAAGAACTTCCGAGAAGCTGTGAACTGGACCCCATAGTCCATCTGCTCCCAGTGGGTCAGCAACCTTGCTTTGCCCTGATCCGGGGTCTCAAAGGGTGTCCCTTTCACCGTATGCAGGAAGATGTACATGCCCTGGATGGAGGGTCCTTCATTAGAGATAACAAAAGGCAAACAGGCCCCCCAGCACAGCTTATCCCCCAAGTCACAGAGAGATGTAGCTCCAGGTGGTCTGCTACCTCCCTTGGCTACACAGTGATTCAGGCAGATAGTAATAATGGTTATGATAGAGGACCACGGAGTTTGGCAGGACAAAAAGAGGATGCTGGGAGAGAGAGTGGCCTGGCATGGGAAAGCACATTGGGGGGACTTAGCTGTAGAATGGGCATGAAGAAACTGCCCTTTCAGTGCAACCAGGATCACTGTGGGCCAAACTAGAAGGAAGGGACAGCCAAAGGAAAGGACTGGAACCCTGCTTGCTTGTCAGCACAGTACAGAGCAGCAGCTTTAGGGAGCAGAGAAAGGCAGATGTTTGAGAATCTAACTTGGGATCTGCACCAAGCTAGGCACCAGGATTCCAGGGTCCCAGAGGCACCCTGGATCAAGGGTTCAGATCTCAGTTGGCTATCCTCCAAATCCACCATCTACCCCATCCAGGAGACACAGGAAATCTGCAGATTTGATTCCTGAAGGTATGCTGGAACCCACAAAGGGGAGCAGGGCAGGGCGATAAGAGCTGGGCCTGGACTCTGGTGACAGATGTTGTCGGGATGTCACGTGCTACCTAGCCCACAACAAGCTCCTCCCATCCCTCAGCTCTGACACATGACACAGAGCAGCCCAGGTGTCAGAGGAAGGCAGCAGGCAGGCTCTCACCATGTTGTGGATGAGGTTGGTGAGGGTCCAGACGACAGGGACACTCACGAAGGGGATGCTCAGCAGCACAACATGCAGGAGTCCAATGGCCAGCACATAGGAGAGCCAGATGCCACGGCTGTTCATCACCCGTGTGTTGGGGTTCACCTCACTGTGCGCCGTGCCCACATTCATCCTGCCACCCCTCTTGGCTGCTGCTCTGCAAACAAGCAACACAGGTGAGACAGGTCACACCACTTTCCCTGCCCCCTCACACCCTGAACCCCACAAAGAGGCAGGCTCTTCCTTCCCTGAGAATTCCACACCACCATCCACTGTTTTGATTCTCAAGCCCAGAAGCTGGAGAAAGTCCACATGAACTTAGCTCTAGTCATTTCCCACTGCTGGGCTCAGATTAACACCAGGGTGTCCTATGTATCATCCCACTGAACTAAGGGCTGACTGAGCCTAGGAGGACAAGAGGTGTCCAGCCCAGGGTGTAGAAATCAATGCCCACTCCCTAATCTTACCCCCTAAGAGTATTCTTGAAACCCTCTTCCTACTGGGGAGAGGGAAAGGGCCTGCTTCCCTAGAATTTCCATTCAGCATAACACCTCTGCTTGTTCTCTCGCTTAAGGCCTAATAGAAGACATTTACTCTACGTCCTTCCCAAAAGGAGTAGAAGGAGGCAAGGCCTGTGGGCGCAGGCGGCAGTTGATAAAGTACTTAGGGGCTACTGTTCCCACCATCCCTAAATCTCCAATCCTGGATCTCCTCAAGCCCAGGTCCAGGAGGACTGACAAAGCAGAGAGAAGAAAAGAGACAGCAGGCCAGGGACAACCTTTGCTCAGACCTACACACATTTTGACACAAAATGACCCATCAGGGCAGGGCATTTTATCCATTTGGCAGCAGCTCAGGCTAACTCTCTTGAGGTGCTACCATTCTGCTGCCAAACCACCAGAGCCCTTTACCCTACCAGAGACAGGACAGACTAGTGCACATGGCCAATACCCACAGTGCCCATATTGGTACACCCCTCTCAAGGATGCTAAACCATGCCTGTGGCCTCCCTCCTACCTCCTCCCTTCTCAGTACTTGTTGCAGGAGTATATTAACACCATCCCTTCCCTTGGCCAGCTCCAATGGTAGAAGCTCTGCAGCAGGATGAATCAAAAGGGCTGCCCTCAATGCCCAGAAAACAATAGTGGCAGCAACCTGCAGTGGCCAGAGGGGAGCCGAAGAGGCAGGAAGACAATGATCTGCCCCTTATCCCAGAGCTTGGCTGTCCCCAGATCCCTAACAGCCCTCCGACCAGCAAAAGGTGGGAAGAAGGCCTCGGAGTACATTACCTCCCTACCTTAGGGTCTTACCTGACAAAGACCCCAAGGTAATCACTGTGGTAACAACCCCACCTTTCCTAGATATACAAAGGGGTCCCAGATGGAGATATTCTAGAAGTACCAGAAGACTACCTCCCTCACCCACTATATCTACCTCCCTACCAGACACAGATGCTATCTCACCCAGCTAGGATTCTAGCCAAGCCTCCATATAAGAGCCAGAATTCTCTCAGATCAATTCCTTACTTGAAGGATAATGATAGCAAGTTCCCTATTCTCGGACAGCTCCAAGCTTAGGGATCTCGGGAAATATGACCCACAATACAGTTTCCAAATAAGCAAGCATATGCATGAGTTGGACTGGGTTGCATCCTGTTGGAAGTGATGCTCTCTCCTGGGATCCAAACACTGACCCATTAAGATGGATAACTGGTCCCAACAGAAACCCAAGGAACTAGAAAATCAGTTCATTTACCTTCCCCAGGTCTTAGTGCTACAGTTACCTAACACAGACCCTGGGACACCTACTTCGTAAAAGTCTCCATATGAGGGGCAGGAACTGAGCAGTGAGGTCTCCAAAAGACCACTTAAGGTGAGGGAAAGAGCTTCCCAAGTCTCACCAGAAGTTGCTGCCCCTTTCCATAAGCCAGTCCTACAATAGTACAGCTGCAGACAAAACTTCCTAGCGCTTTGTCCAGAGGTGCCAAAAGCCTGGCTGAATCCCAAGATCACAAGACCCTACATCCTTTTCTGGCTCTAACAGGGCATCCAACAAAACTTGATGAATCTATGATGGGCCTAGACCTGTCTTCGTTGACAACGCCCCCCTGCAACTCCAGGGAAGCTTCTTTCTGAAGCCTGAATGCTAGATGCCTTGAAAGGAAATTCCAGGTCCATGCACCCCAACTCCCCAAAAAAGACTAATGACTAAACTAAGGAAAAGACTGGGAGACAGACTTCGTGAGACTCCTACGGCTACGAACGCATGTCACTTCCATTAGTAACTAACTGACCCTTCTCCTAGAACTGAAGAAATACAAAGAAGAGGTTGGCAGAGGCAGAAAAGTCTAACGCAACTGAGACTGAAAAGTTCTGCTGCCACAGCTGGCAGATGGCTGCCAGCACTAAGCCCTGATGTGGTTTCATAACTTGCCTTGAGCCAGAGCCTGAAGCAACTCCGTTCTATTAATCACTTTCTTGCTGTAGCTCTTTCCCCCTTTTCCCTCCTGGCCTAGGCAATCCATCAGACACTCAGACCAAGGCAAGATTGAGCGCCCCCCCC